TTGTAGAAACTAGATCTTGCCATGTTTCCCAGGTTGGCCTCCAACTCCTGGGCTTAAGCGATTCTCCTGCCTCAGACTCCTGAAGTGTTGGGATTACAGGCGTGAGTCACCGTGCCTGGCCCAGCTTTTCTTTTTAAAAGAGTAAGATCTGGCCACACCAGTCTATCATTTTTGCATGGCAACAATTGGCTGAAGCTGAGTGACAGCTGCCCCCTTTGGATGAGACAGAGGCTGCCTCTAGTTCCTCAGTGTTCCCCACTTCCGGTGTCTCCCAGACACTGGTACCAAGTACCGGTTCTCATTTATCATCATCCTCGTGCTGCTGTTTTTCTTAGAGAAATGTTCTGTTTCCGTGGTTCTCCTCACACCCAGTTTGCCTTCTGCATGTGTGGTTATCTGTTGGCCGCTGAAAGCCTTTGAGTTTGCAACTCTTGGTCCAAATTAGGTCAAAGGGGAAGCCCACTGCAGCCTCCTGTCACCCCGCCTGTTCTCTTTCCTGTCTCATTGTAGCAGCCGCAGGAAATCAGCTGGGGGGAAACCCTAGCCCAGGGGGTGCAACTACATCCAAGTCCTGCTGTATCCAGTAACACCACCGGGGGTCTGCTGGCCGGACGGTGCCGGACGGCACCACCCTTCTGTGGGAAGAGATGACCCAAGCCAGCGGAAGACCACACACCTTGAGAAGTAAAGGAGTCATAGGATTTGAAAGCTGATAGAGAATTTAGCTTCCAGGAGTGTTCAATCTTTCGGCTTCCCTGGGCCACATTGGAAGAATTGTCTTGGGCCACGTGAATACACTAACGATAGCTGATGAGCTAAAAAATAATCACACACAAAAAAATCTCCTAATGTTTTAAGAAAGTTTATGAATTTGTGTTGGGCCTCATTCAAAGCTGTCCTGGGCTGCATGTGCCCCATGGACCGAGGGTTGAACAAGCTTGGCTTACACCTTATTCATGTCTTTATTCTTTTAGCCTTGAGAACTGCCTACTGAGCTAAAACCAATATTCCAGGTTTCATAGACATCAACTACACATTTAATTAATGCCAGATTCACTGGCTTGCTTAGAATCATTTTTGCTCTCTTTTTTTCTTTCTATTTATTTCCTTGAATCATTTTTGTTCTCATACTTTCATTTAATATATTATAAAAATTTTCAACCATTTTGAAAAGTAGAGGATTGTACGCTGAATCCCCACAAACCCGTCACCCAGATTCCAGTATCAAGATTTTGCTACATGCATTTCATCTGTCCTTTTTACATTTCCTTTTCAATTCTTTTTCTTACCTGAAGTGTTTAATGGCAAATCCTGGCCAGGTATGGTGGCTCACACCTGTAATCCCAGCACTTTGGGAGGCTGAGGCAGGCAAATTTAGTGAGCCCAGGTGTTCGAGACCAGCCTGGGCAAAAATGGCAAAACCCTGTCTCTACAAAAAATGCCAAAATTAGCCAGCAGTGCTGGCACTCACCTGTAGTTTCAGCTACTCAGGAGATGGAGGTAGGTGGATCTCTTGAGCCTGGGAGGCGGAGATCACAGTGAGCCGCGATCGTGCTACTGCACTCCACCTTGGGCAACTGAGCGACTCTGACTCAAAAAAAAAAAGGCAAATCTCAAACATATCATTTCGTTCTTCTACTAACTCATCTTTAAAGAATTAAGGATATTTTCTAACATAACCACATCCCTGGCCCATGCAACCGATGCCTGCCTAATACCCAGCTGTGATGTATGCTTCGATGGGCTGCACAGACCCCAAGCTTCAGCAAAGGACTTGGAACCCCACCAGCTTTGAGTGCTGTTGGCAGACCACCCTCAGTGTCAGCCCTGTCAGGTGTTACTGCAGCCTTTCCCAGGCTGGCCTACACCCAATGGCTGATCCATGCCAGGTGGAGGGGCCTGGCCATCTTGGCTGAGCATGGGCTCTTCTAGCTGCAGGATTCCTCGTGGGGTCCATCAAGGCTGTTGCTGGGTTCACATCGCAGCTCAACCTCTCCCTCTGCCCACTCCTATTTCCTTCCCTTCCCCAGGCATCGGTCCCCAGGGCACTGCTTAATAAGCATCCTCCAGACTACGTCCATTTTAAAGTGTGCTTTCTGGGGCACCCAACTTGTGATGCCAGCCCTTAATCAACCTTCCTTCATTGTCACAAAAGTTTTTAATGGTTGGCTTGCCTGAATCTGATCCAAACAATTTCACACTTCAAATTTAGTTGTTTCTTTTTGTTGGTTTTTAGGAAAAAGAAGATGTACTTTTTATTTTTGGATTTTCCGTTGATTTCACGGAGTATAAATTAAGGCAAATTTTTCTCAATTTCAGAACTTCTGTTCCTTAAATGAACAGGCATTCTGTTGGTTTAAAAAGATAGATGTAGTAGATAGAATTTTTCTTTCCTTCCCTCCCTCCCCTCCCTCCCTTCCTTCCTTCCTTCCTTCCTTCCTTCCTTCCTTCCTTCCTTCCTTCCTTCCTTCCTTTTTTTCTTTCTTTGTGATGGGGTCTCACTCTATTGCCCAGGCTGCAGTGCAGTGGTATGATCATAGCTCACTGGGGCCCCAACTGCCCAGTCTCAAGGAATCCTCTCATCTCAACTCACCAAGTAGTGCCGACCACAGGCATACACCACCATGCCCAGCTACTTTTTTTAAAACTTTTTTTTTGTAGACATGGGGTCTCATTCTGTTGCATGGGTTGGCCTCAACTCCTGACCTCAAGTGATCCTCACGCCTCAGCCTCCCAAAGTGTTGGGATTACAGGCGTGAACCACTGCACTTGGCCAGGACTTATTTCTTTTACACTGAATCTAAGTATGTTCTGGCAAGTCTGCAATGCCTAGCAGAATGCCACTGGCCTGATCAGCATTTGTACCATAGTAACTAATGTTGAAAACAGCACAAATAAACCAGAAGTTGAAAATGACAATAACATGCTAAAAGGTTGCAAGTCAATTTCTGTTATACTTGACCAAATCTAAATTTTTTTTTCATCCTCTGTTGTTCCCCCCAGCTTTACTGAGGTATAGTTAGCAAATAAAGATTATACATTTTTAAGGTATATGCTGTGATATTCTGATATGCATTGTGAAATGACTGCCATAATGAAGCTAATTAATATATCCATCACCTCACATAGCTATGGTTGTTTCTGAAGTCTCTTTTAGTCTACAAAGTGCTCCTTCCTTACTTCCTTTGCCACTGACTTGCAGAAATAGTTTTCTCATGTCTGTATTTATGATTGTTCCTTTGTGGCCGCATGTAACACGTTCCTCTGTCTCATTCTAATAAATGGACATTAGCTCTAGAACTTTTCTTCCTTCCACACTGAATGTTATGCAGAAACTAATATATTAAAACAGTTGCCTTGAGGAGAGGGAGCCACATGGTTTCCCCAAACAGTAAACCACAGATCTACTATAATCTCTCTTTTTAGACACACAAGGAAACTGAAGGCCAGTGAGAGGATGGGGCTGGGCCAAGTTCCTGGCACAGTTCCCCAGCTTCTCTCCAGGAGACGCCCAAGGTCACAGAGAACACAGTGTACAGGGCATCCACAGCCTGGTGGCTTCCAGGCCTCCACAGCTGATCAATCTGGGCTCCTGACGCATGAGCCCTGCTCCTATTTGCAGGTCATGTCAATAGAGAGCTGGGTCTGGAAGTTGCATCTTTAAACTCCCAAGCTAGATGTTCTGCCCTGCTGCAATGCACATTCTGAGAGCAGTGGTCTTTAAGCACAGGCCTGTCCTAAGTGCATCACATGTGGTGGTTACATGGCAGAGTAGAAGGAGAAGTAAATGTCACTCAGGAACACATAGGCATTGATGTGACTCTGCCATCGCATTTCTGAGTCCCTTCGGCAGGCTCTTTCTGCTCCACTTCCCAGCTTTTCCCAATCTGTCAAAAAAAAGGTCAAGATCCTTGCTGTACCTCTCTCAGATGACTTTGCTTAGCACCAAATGGGACTGAGCGCAATGAGGATAACAGCTGATGTTGATTAAGTACTTACCATGTCCTAGGTACTGTGCACAATCTAATTTCATCCTAACAACAACACTCCAAGGGAGAAACTATTCCTAGCTCCATTTATCACATGGTGAGGAGCAGACTTAAAGAGGGAGGAAATCTGCCCAAGGACACCCAGCTGGTAAGTGGTGGAGCCAAGATTTAAAGCCAAGCAGCTTAGGCCGGTGTGGTGGCTTATGGCTATAATCCTAGCACTTTGGGAGGCCAAGGTGGGTGGATCACCTGAGGTCAGCAGTTTGAGATCAGCCTGGCCAATATGGTGAAGCCGTGTCCCTACTAAAAACACAAAATTAGCTGGGTGTGGTGGTGGGTGCCTGTAATCCCAGATACTTGGGAGGCTGAGGCAGGAGAACCACTTGAATCCAGGAGGCAGAGGTCGCAGTGAGCCAAGATTACACCATTGCACTCCAGCCTCGGTGACAAGAGTGAGACTCTGTCTCAAAAAAAAAAAAAAAAGCCAAGCAGTTTGACACCAGAACCCCAGCTTATGAGCATTTTCCTTGTACCGTACTGCTTCTGCAAATCAGGTTTTGTTGTTGTTGCTTTTAAAGAACATAAGAACATAAAGGAACTTCGAGTTCAGCTAAGCAAATTGTTTCCTATTTGGGAAAACCAGGGACCAAAAAGAGGTGGTTTGCCCAATTCACACAATATAGAAGTGGCAGAGATGGGTCCCAAGCGCAAGTCTTGAGGCTCTGCATCTGCCATCCTATTCCTTGCACTATGGGTAGGATCCTCTCAGGAACTCCTGGTTGATGGGGCTGGTACCCTGCAGTGAATGGAAAAGCAGGTCTATTCTCCTGAAGCTTACCATCTACAACAGATGGGCAACAGGTACTGAGCCGTCAATCACACACATACTCTCTCTAAAGACTCTAATCACACCAGAGAGCTCTGCCCTAAGTGGAAACGTTCCTATTACTTTTAATGGGAAAAAAATTGTGATGTGATCCCTTGCAATCAAAGAGATCCAAGCAATTTTCACAGATTGAGAAGATAAACCACCTGAACAAGGAGAATATATGTATGTGTGTATGAGTTATGTAATAAACAGCAACCTGAAAATAGTTTGCACATAACATAAAATGGAATCATTCATTGTACCTGTTTTTGTTTATTTATTTACTTATTTTGAGACGGAGTCTCACTCTGTTGCCCAGGCGGGAGTGCAGTGGTATGATCTCGGCTTACTGCAACATCTGCCTCCCAGGTTCAAGCGGTTTTCCTGCCTCAGCTTCTCAAGTAGCTGGGATTACAGGTGCCCACCACCACGCCCAGCTAATTTTTGTGTTTTTAGTGGAGATGGGGTTTCACCATGTTGGCCAGGCTGGTCTCAAATGCCTAACCTCAGGTGATCCACCCACTTTGGCCTCCCAAAGCGCTGGGATTACACATGTGAGCCACCACACCCGGCCCGTTCTTATTTATATGTAATTCTCTTCCTCAATGTTTCAACCTTTTGGGGTTCATCTTGCATTTAAAAGTAAAGCACAAAAAACAGCTTTAGGGTCAAATAAAGGCTAACCCCTTTGAGGCGTGAGGAAATGACACACAGCCACAAGACAATCTTGGAAGATGCCACTTCCTCATCCTACTTGCTGGACGTATACAAAGGAAGATGTTCTGAGTTCACTCAAATATCGCACACAATGCAGGCCTGCTCTGAGATCCTCTGACCAGAAACCATTTTGTAATTTTTGTAATTACAAATTGATGAGTGTTTTGCCTGGAACCATAATGCCAAAATATCTCTTACAGTGCATTTATTCAATGTGCCTGTGTGAAAAAGTTGATATACCAAAACAAGGAAGTCTGTGTTCGGAAAGGGGTAAAGCTTTATAAACGTCATGGCAAAAAGTCGTTCATGGAACAGCTGTTATGTGAGATGAGTCTGAATGATTATTTTATTTATTATATTTTATTTAATTTACTTTTTCAGAGATGGAGGGGTCTCACTATGTTGCCCAGACTGGCCTTGAACTCTCGGGCTCAAATGATCCCCCATCTCAGCTCCTGTACCCAGCATGAATGGATATTGTGAACTGTGAAAAGAGCTGTGAAGGAGGGAAAAGTGCGGTGAGGTGGGGTCTTATCTGAGAAGGTAATGATGAAACTGACAGCTCTTCCTCATGTGGTGGTCGGTGTCTGCCAAAGAGCTCCCAGGACCAATAAGGAAAGACACACGTGGGCAGAGCTGTGGGTGGTATTTTCTTTTTAATCTCCATAGTGTATTTGTTAAGTTTATTTATAAGCAGATCACTTCACTATTTACAGTACATGAGCATAGAGATTCTACAGTTTTTGTGATGTAAACAAT